CTGCTGCTGCAGAATGGCGAGATGTTGCTGCAGCTCTTGCTGCTGCTGTGGAAGCCCAGCTGCTGGGACGGCCTTCAGCAGCAGTTGTTGCTGGTGCTGCAGCAGCACCAGCAGGTGCAGCAGCAGCAGCAGAAGCAACAGCAGCAGAGACAGCTGCTCTCAATCGTTTGCTGCAGCAGAGAGGCATCGCCATGCAGGAGGATATTACTGCTGCTGCGCCTTTGCTGCTGCAGCAGTACAGCAGGGATCCAGCAGCAGCTGCTGCTGCTGCTGCCAAGCTGCGAGCAGCAGCAGCAGCAAATGCTCAAGGAGGACAAGCTGCTGCTGCACTGCAGCACGAACGCTTCCGCGCCATCGTTGCTGCTGCATCTGCTGATGAAGTGCTGCAGGTCGTAGCAGCAGCAGCAAAACAGAATCGAGGATTGCAGCAGCAGCAGCAGCAGCAGCAGCAGCAGCACAATGGAAGCAGCGTTGAAACAGCAACAGACGAGGGCGCAGGAGAGACAGCTGCTGCTGCTGACGAAACGTCAGCAGCAGCAACAGCAGCAGCACCAACAGCAGCAGCAGCAGCAGCAGCAGCAAGGGGTGCACCGCACGGCTTGGACGCGAAGATAATAACGGCTGCGCTGCACCAACTGGCCATGCTTGCGCAGCAGCAGCAGCAGCAACAACAGCAACAGCAGCAGCAGCAGCAGCTGCTGCTGCTGCTGCTGGACGACAGGATGCTGCTGCTGCTGGATGCTGCAGCAGCATATATCCCCAGAGCTGACAGCAGCATAACCCGCATGCTGTGGGCGCTGCAGCGGATCGGTTTGCTGGGGCGTCTCCCGCTGCTGCTGCAGCAGCAGCAGCAGCAGCAGCAGCAGCGACAAAAGCAAAAGCTGTTGTCGCTGAGGAAGCGTCTGCAAAGAGATTTGCTGCTGCGGCTGCAGCAGCTGTGCGAGCAGCAGCAGCTGCTGCCGCAGCAGCTTGCTGCTGCACTCCGGGTGCTTGCTGCTATGACTGAAGAAGGCGACGCAGCAGCAGCAGCAGGAACAGCAGCAGCAGCAGCAGCAGCAGCAGCAGCAACAGCGGGTGGAGCAGCGGGAATAACGGACGATGAGCAGCAGCAGCGAGCAGCAACATCTGCTGCTGCAGCAGACGAAGGCATAGCAGCAGCAACACGAAACCCCAGACTTGCTGCAGCTGTATGTCGTGCGCTGCTGCAGCAGGTGCAGCAGCTGCAGGCAGCAGAAGCATCAGCTGTGCTGCTGGCTCTGGCGAAGCTGCGGTGGTTGCTGCTGCAGACCCCAGCGGCGTACCCTCAAGAGCAGCAGCAGCAGCAGCAGCAGCAGCAGGTGTCGCTGCAGCATCTCATGCTAGAGCAGCTGCTCCCTGTGCTGCTGCGGCGCATGCAGCAGCTGCTTCCGGTCTGCAACGCCCAGAGCATTGCTGCTGCTATGTGGGGTGTTGCAGTGCTGCAGCAGCAGCAGGAGTTGCTGCAGCAGCAGCAGCAGCAGGAGCAGCAGCAGCAGACCGGCTGCGACATTGCTGCTGCTGCTGCGTTTAACGATGCAGTAGCAGACTTTGTTGCTGCTGCAACGCAGCAGCTGCAGCAGCAGCAGCTAGTTCCAAGGGAGGGGTCTCGATGCCTCACGCTGCTGCTGCAGGCCTTTGCGCAGCTGGCGCCGCTGCTGCTGCAGCAGCAACAGCAGCAGCAGCAGCACTTCCCGCTGCTGCTGCGGCAGCAACAGCAGCAGCAGCAGAACTTCGCGCTGCAGCAGCATGTCCTTCAGCAGCAGCAGTTGCTGCTGCTCGAGGTGGTGCAGACGGCACTCAAACGCGTAGCCACTGGCGAGGCTGCTGCACTGCAGCAAGCCTGGCAGCAGCAGCAGCAGCGGCAGCAGCAAAGGCAGCAGCAAAGGCAGCAGCAAAGGCAGCAGCAGCAGCAACAGCAGCAGCGTGTTGTTGGTGACCTGCTGGATTCAGTGTTTCAGCTGCTGGCTCGTCTGGCGGAGCTGTACGTGCAACCTAGAGAGACAGCAGCAGAAGCAGCAGCAGCAAAAGCTGCTGCTGCTGCTGCATCAAATGCTGCTGCTCTGGTGCAGGACCCGGCTGCTGCTTTTGCTGCTGCTGCTGCTGCTGCAGCAGATGCTGCGTGGTTTGAAGGACTGTGTGGGGCGCTGCAGGAAGCAGCAGCAGCAGTGATAGAAGTCACCACGCGCGAGCCGCAGCAGCAGCAGCAAGAACAGCAGCAGCAGCAGCAGCAGGAGCAGCAGCAAGAGCAGCAGCAGCAGCAACAAGAGCAACTGCAACAGCAGCAAGAGCATGGATTCTTTTCTTATAGGGTTTCCAGCCGTCTGCTGCAGTCGGTGGTTTCTGCTGCTGCTGCGCTGCAGCAAGCGTCAGGTGTACATACACCCCACAGCGCGGGGGCCTTCAATGCAGCAGCAGCACAGCGGCTGCTGCTGCAGGCAGCAGCAAAGCTACGAAGGGTGACTCTAGGGCAGCTTGCAGCAGCAGCAGCAGAAGAAGAAGCAGCAGCAGCAGCTGCTGCTGCTGCAACACAACAAGCACAGACAGAACCAGGGACACAGGCTGCGCATACTCCTGCTGCTGCTGCTGCTGC